CACCCAGGTTCTAAGCCTAGTACCCAACAGTTATCTTTTTGATCTTCTTCCTCCTCTGACCCTCCACCCTCAGATAGGTCCCAGGGTCTGTTGTTCCCCTCTTTGTGTCCATGAATTCTCATCATTTAGCACCCACCTAGAGGTAAGAACAGGTGGTATCTGGTTTTCTCTTCCTGCATTAGTTTTCTAAGGACAATAGCCTGCAGTTCCATCCATGTTCCTGCCAAAGACATGATCTCATTCTTTTTCATTGCTGCATAGTATTCCGTGGTGTATATGTACCACATTTTCTTTATCCAATCTGTCATTGATGTGCATTTAGGTTGGTTCCACATCTTTAATGTTGTGAATAGTGCTGCAACAAACATTCACATGCATGTGTCTTTATGGTAGAATGATTTATATTCCTTTGGGTATAAATCCATATAAATCTGGATCTACTAGTTTCAATATCCTCCTCTTTTCCTCTAGGCCCAGAAAACAGATGGCCTTTCTGATGGCCTTTAAGTATCAACCCTGTAGGACCCATTCTCACTTGACACCAGGTCTCTCTACTCCAGATGCCCTTCTCGCTACCAGGTTTTACTTGAAAAGCACAACATGAGTGTCTTGTGCCAAATGTGGCCATAGGTCATTCAATGAATGTTGAGAGAGTGCGACCCTTAGAGCAGAAAATTGACGGGGCTCCAACACATGGTTGGTCCCCCAGAGGCTCTCACTGCTCTCTTGGCTGGAAGAACTTCAAACTCTCAGCCAGTGGAAAATTCAGTCTGTTCCAAGCAAGAGACACAAATGTGCTCTTAAAATTCATACTGGCATTTGGAACTGCCCAGGGTATTATAAATATAATCGTTCTGAAGTGTGAGTATGTGTCAGGGAAAGAGAAAGAGAGAGAGAGAGAGAGAGAGAGAGAGAGTGTGTGTGTGTGTGTGTGTGATGACAGGAAAGTTAGAGCAGACCCGGGGCCGGGAAGGATCCATGCCAAGAACACAAGGCCAGGCACAGAGAAGAATGTCCACCAGGTTCCCAATGACTACATTCCAGACTTTCTACTGCTTCCTCCTCAGAGAAAAGAGGAGAAATAAATTAGAGAGAACGCAAAGGGAGAGAAAGAGTGAGCAAGATGGGTGGGGATGGAGAGAGAAAGGAACAGGAAGTGGGAGCCTTACTAGCCATATACCAAGAGGCCCAGACTGACCTAGAGGTCCCACCATGACCTATTTCAAGCTACAACATGAAGTCACTGAAGACAGAATTGGGAAGAGATGTGCACTGTCACCCCTGCCTGATGCAGGCCAGCTCCAGCACGCTATGACCATTCTCGTTTCTTCACAATTCTCTCAGTTTTTCCATCTTCTGTATGCTGGTTTTGTCCTGATGATGCAACCAGAAGCTGGAACTGTACACTTTCCTGCTAGTGTCTAGCAAGCTTCTCTTTTACTAATAACCAAAAAAAAAATTCCTGAGCTCTTCTGAAAGAATTGCTGTATTCAAGGAATATCACCCAGCTGGCTTAGCCTTGGGCAGCATGTTAAAATAAGTAACAGCCACCTTCTCTCAAGGCTCTTCATTTCACCTACCAAGTAACTCCTGTTGGACAGAGCTGTGATCTGAATGCTGCTGTCCCTTCAAAATTCATGTGTTGGAACCTAATACTCAATGTGATGGTATTAAGAGGTGGGGGGTCTTTGAGGAAGTGATTCATTCATGAGGGCTCCATGCTCATGAATGAGATTACTGTTCTCATAAAAGAGGTTGAAGGGAGTGTCCCTGCCCCTTCCACCATGTGAGGTTGTAGCAAGAAGGTGCCATATGCGGAATGGGCCCTTACTAGGTGCCTTGATTTTGGACTTCCCAGTCTCCAGAACTGTGAGCAATACATTTCTATTGTTTATGAATCACCCAGCCTAAGGTATTTCGGTATAGCTGCCTGAATGGACTAAAACAGGCAGAACTAGCACTGAAAACCTATCCTCTAGAAGGTGCAATTATCAGCAAGACAAGAAAATAATATTCATATTTTCCCATTTTAGTGGCTGTATCAACCAGATGTTCCCTTCAGAACTGAAACCCTCATTTTCCCACTCTGAAAGTACTGACTGCTGATGGCTCACAGCTGAGTTCCTCCCAAGGTACTGCTCTGAACCAAAGGAGCTGCCAGACTCAAGGATATTGTCCCCCTTGAGGGGACACTGCCTCTAATGGCTGATCAATGAGTGAGTATAAAAGCCTGAGGTCACCTCAGTTCAGGCATGTCTGAAGGGTCAGACCAGCTCCAGTGCTTCCAAAAGGGAATCAGATAAGGCCTCTGTTGAAATCACATACTGGGTCCATTTCTCCCTCTGTCCCGTCATCCTTCCCTCTCTTGCTTACACCATTCCTGTGTAAATAAACACTAAACTTCCTGCATGCAATCTCAGTGTCTGTTTCCATAAAACTGAATCTGCAATGCCCATCCTAGGGCTGAGAGTGGAATCAGTCTCACCCACATCCCATGGCTGCCCCAAGGTGGGAGAGGGTTGGAATGTATCTTGAGACACAACTGCACTGTCTGCTACATAATAAGGCATGGTGGGTAATGTAAAAGACGTATGAACAATATCACAGTTCAATGACTGAGGCATTATAGGCATAGAGAAAGAAAAAAGCAGGCCCTGACATCCAGAAATAATCACCGGTAGACCTCAGTATTATTACAAGCTGATCTGACACTCACAGACAGGCCATTGTTCCCCTATTGGACATAGACAATCTCACAGAACACCAGCCTCAGACAAGCTTATTCTGAACCATGACAAAATGAAACCAAACAAGGTCATTACATAATTCTGCCCATGCACAGACCAAAACAAGGTCACTCTGTCACCTGAAATGTACTCATAGAATTGCCTGGATTTCTGATGGTATCCAACCTAGTGCACATTCTTAATTTATTAAGCCCTTCGCAAATCACGCAACCAAAGTCCAAATCTTCTAGTAGTCTCTTTCTATCACAGTTACTAAGATAGTGTCCCTAAAGTATGTTCTCCCTTGATCAATGAATAATAAGCCCAGTTTGTTTGATTATAAGTGTGTTCCTGGTGGTCTTTGGCTGGAGGGCATTGGTAGCCCTCGATCAGTGTTTGTAGGGTGAATAACTGGGTGTGTAAATGGCTGTGCTTTTTGTTTCTGTGTTCTGCTTTGAGTTAAGCCTTTCAGGAAAGGCTTAACAGAAGGCCTTTGAGCTGGTTCGTAAAGGAAGATTGAGCTTTCCAAGCAAAGCAGGGTCAAAGAGAAGTCATTCCAAGCAAAGGAAGCAGGATATGCAAAGGTTGGCATCACTGAAATGAAGGATGAGGAGTCCATGTGGGTGGGGTGTAGGGTGGACTGGAAGTGTCCCAGGACCAAATGTGGAGATCCTTGTAAGTCACAACTAATCCTGTAGGCAAAGAGGACAAAAAAGTAGGAGAGAGAGAGAGAGCTTGCAATTTGAAATCTGGTTGCAAAGAGAATTCCTGGAGTAGCCATAACTATTTTTCCTCCAACCCTTTCTTTCTTTTTTGGAGGGAGGGAGAAGACATTTGCTTTTGTTAAATCAAAACTGCATATTTTGAATTTTCCCATCCTGACATTTAAGGCTCACACCTAACAACACTGAGTCCTTAATTCACTGGATATTGTGAATGCTTTGAAGACATCATGGCTTTCTTTCAAAGGTTTGGTAATTTACACTTCACTAAATAATTCCTCTTGCTTCTCAGAACTGAGTACAATTCAGCTGGTCACTTCCTCTTGTTATTTATAACTAAATAACTTACCATATATTCTTTAATCAAAAGAGACTTCCAGATGCCCTGGTAGAAAATGCCAATGTCTTCCCACTTCCTTGTGTGTGTCCATCTTTGACTCTCCATTCGTGCCCCCAAAGATGGCATTCTTCCTCTAGGGGTCATATCTCCAGGACCTCCCAGGCAGAACGATTCCTGCAATCCTTCCATCTGTGTTTGTCTTGCTTGTGCTCCACAAATTCTTTCTGTCTTAACAGCCCTATAGCTGCATGGTCTTCTCTTCTGTTCCCTTCTGTCTGTCTTGCCCTGCCCTGCCAGTGAGCACTCATAGTTTATAACATCTTGCCTTGCCAACTGGTTTTGTGAGTACCATGTAAGTATTTATTAATTATAGATATTTTGCAAATAACATATATCTGATACAGCTGAAGGAGACTGAAATGTCCCCACTCTTATTAATCCATGCTAATGTCGCCCTAGACTGCCCTTAGAAAGAATTTTGTGTCTATTTGTGAAATCCATGTTTTCTACTTTTACTCTCTCGATATGTATCTCAGTAACCTATGGATTATTTTGTGCTTTTAAACATAAATATTGTCATAGTGTTGTATCATTTTATTATATGCTTTTTTCACTCACAATTGTGTTTTAAGATTCCGTTTTGTTGTTAATATATGCAAAGCTTTTAGAACAGTGCCCGTAAACACCACATAAGTATTAGCTATTATTATTTTTGATATTATTATTATTATTGTTATTTTGAGGCAACATCTCATTCTGACACCCAGGCTTAGTGCAGTGGCACGATCATGGCTTACTACAGCCTCAACCTCCTGGGCTCAAGTGAACGTCCCATCTCAGCCTCCTGAGTAGCTGCGACTAAACTACAGGCACGCACCCCCATGACCGGCTAATTTTTGTATTTTTTATAGAGATGGGATCTCACCAAGTTGCAGAGGCTGGTCTCAAACTCCTGGGTTCAACCAATCTGCCTGCTTCAGCCTCCCAAAGTGCTGGGATGACAGGTGTGAGCCACCACCCCAGGCCTATTATTTTAAATATTATTAATAAATGGATTTACATCATTCCTTGTAATTACTTTATAGCAATCTAACATTGATCATATGACATCTTATTTATCCCATTGCTCTATCTGTGTGTTGAGACTTAAGAAAATGATACCCCAAAGTGAAGGCCTCTGAAGCAAAGTCTCTCTCTGACCTTCTCCTGCCCTCCTGTCTCTTGTCCCTCATTCTCCCCTAAGGCAAGCTGTAGAAACTATAATTCCTCTTCCCCAAGGCAGGTCATAGAAACCAAAACATCTTTCACCCAAAGCCAGTCATAAAACCTAAAAATATGACTCTAATCTTCCCCTGCCTTTCTGTGTAAGAGCTGACCGCAAAGAAATTAAGACCTTTATCCCAGAGGGGTCCTATTCCATACCTTGGAGAATGAAATGTTCCAAATGAGAGGCCATGAAGAAGCTGAGTTGACAGAGCTTGATAGGTTTCCTGACTCAGTCTATTTCCATTTGATTATTCCTGTTTCCCCCAATAGCAGTTCTACGTGGCTGTCCATTCTTCACTGAACCTAAGAATAAAAAAAGGGATACATTTTCCCTGGATCTCTATTCTGAAGGCTCTCATGTCTCATAAAACTGTGATCAAATAAATGTATTATGCTTTTCTCTTGTTAGCTTGTTTTTCTTATAAGGGTGTCAGCCATGACCCTTATGATGGGGAGGAAAGGGATCACTTTCTTTCTGCCCCTGCAGTAAGTACTCAGGTTGTTTCCAATTTTTCACAATTAATTATAAGCAGTATCCCAAAGAATATCCTTAAACATGCCATGCTCATATGTTCAAGAGTTGGTATTTGCTTAAAGTGGACTTGTTGGGCTGTAAGGAGAATGTATTTTAGACTTTGCTAGCTCTTGTCAAATTGTTCCCCAAAATGCCTGTACCCTCCGCAGTGTATGAGAATTCTTATTTTTCTATTTTCGCCAACCACCATTGGTTTTTTCAAAAGTTTATGAATGCAAAGTAATAATCTTGTTTTAACTTGCATTCTTCATTAATACATGAAATTGGGCATTTTTTTCTCTCCATTTATTGGCCATTATGTACTGGGTCTTAACCTTTTCCGGGGTCTTAGACTCCTTTAAGAATCTACTTCAGAAAAAATACACTTAAATATAGACACATACATTTTAGACATACATTGAAGGGCTTCACAGAGTCCCTGAAGACCCACCCACAAAGCCCCTTCAGAGCAGAGGCTCTCAAGCATTTAGTAGATATGAGAACCTCCTGGGAAGGTTTTTAAAATGCAGAATCCTAGGACCTATCTTTGAGGATCCTGACTCAGAGAGCCCCAGGTAGGAACTGAAGGGCTGGTGCAGGTGATGAGAAAGACAACTAAGACTATACTTTCAGGGGTCGTTTCTAAAGTTCGTTAAGAAAGACAACCTTAAGAGCGTCTGGATTCCCAGTGAGAACTCCTATTTCTGCTTTCCAAAACTTTCCCTTCTCCCACAGCTATGAAGCAAAGGATAAAGTCACCAAGTTTAATGTACAAAAGCTGTAATTTGCCTGTAAATTGATGTCGCTACTTTTAAATCCATGGTTACTTCTGTAGCTATACCTTGTGCCTCTCTCCTCCCTAGCTGGGAAGGTCGATGAGGGAATGAATAAATAGGGTGACATGTGAGACAAAGAAAAACACAAGGAAAGGAAAAAAAAATAGGAAATTCAAAGCTATTCAGAAAATGCTACATAAAAAGCATCATCCTACTAAATATGAACAGCTTGTGTTTGGAATCGCTTGTGTTTCTAATTTTATTACATGAGCAAGCTCATTTTTTTTTCTCTGCCAGATACTTCAAAGATTCTCTTGCAAAAAGATGGAAATAAATTTAGTTTCCTCTCAGATCCAAATTCACATAAATGATTCTGTCATAAGATGAAGAAAATTGATTGTTTCAATGGCAAATAATATATTTTTTTAATTTAAAAACTTAGTAGTAAGGAAATCATGTACCAGGGAATTCTCAAAACATTTTGAGAGAAGTTGAGAATCCCAGTATGATGAGATGATGACGCTACACATGCACATTCTGTCCCCCGTACCCCCACCCCCTGCTTTCTTGTTCAAGCCTGCAAGTGTCAAGAGAGAGTTAATCCTTGTTTTTCACTCAGTCACACACAAACCCCTTCTTCTCTGAACAGGTCAATGACCAGCATCCTCTTGAGCCTTTGGTGGAATTCAGGTCCATGAATGATGCCAGGAGCAAGAAAGGATCTGGTTCTAGGACTTTAGAATGACTCACTCGGTACTTTTGTCCAGTATCAATAGAATAATGACTCGGTTGCTCTGTCCGTGAAACTGGGGCAGCGATGCTGGCTGCCTGCCTCACACAGAGTTGAGGGAAAACCAGGCTTGCAAGATGACAGAGGTCTCCGGATCATGGGCATCACATGGGAGGAGGTGTGGGGTGCCTTCGCAGAGCTGGAAGACAACAGAGGGGGCGACCCGACACAGAACCAAAGGAGGTCCTTGAACCGTGCCATGCCAGCCTGGGGTGGAGGGTGTTCTGTATACAGTGGAGAAAATGGAATGAAATCAACTTCCATCTTTTGTCTTTCTGAAGACCATCTTCTAACTTTCATGGGTTACTCAAGGATTAAGAAGAAAAATGGTGGCCAAACACTTTCTAACATTTTCTGGTATCCATTATCTTGTTCACTTGGCCATACAGTGCTTTTTAAACTCTAGATTTTCAGATTCCAGATGGTAAGTTCATTAAAAACAGGAATTACAATTGACATATAGATATACACAGACGTGCATGTGGCAGGTAAGGTGCCTGACACTCAATATAAATACTGAATATTTTAAATGAATGAATTCCTACACACAGAGATAAACAACACACACATACACAAATAAGTCGGCATTTTTCCAGGACTCAAGCCACAAGGAAGATTTCGGCAGCAGGAGCACTTTTGCTGCCAACCTCATTTCTGCCTGTGTTATTTAGGATATAAATACCATTGCAGCAAAGGAGACTGAATGACCATAACTTAAACAGAAGTTTATTTTTGGCCGGGCGCGGTGGCTCAAGCCTGTAATCCCAGCACTGTGGGAGGCCGAGGCGGGTGGATCACGAGGTCAAGAGATCGAGACCATCCTGGTCAACATGGTGAAACCCCGTCTCTACTAAAAATACAAAAAATTAGCTGGGCATGGTGGCGCGTGCCGGTAATCCCAGCGACTCAGGAGGCTGGGGCAGGAGAATTGCCTGAACCCGGGAGGCGGAGGTTGCGGTGAGCCGAGATCGCGCCATTGCACTCCAGCCTGGGTAACAAGAGCGAAACGCCGTCCCAAAAAAAAAAAAAAAAAAAAAAAAAAAAAGAAAGGAAGGAGGAGGGCACATCTGCCCTTTCAAAAAGACTGTATCTTTTCTCTTCACAGCTCTTGGGTCAGAACGCAGTCATATGACCACATCCAACTGCAAGGGAGTCTGGGAAATGTAGTCTTTATTCTGAGCAGCTATAGATCCAATTGAAAAATCAGCGTTCTCTTAAAACAATAAAAAAATCGATAAATATTGGGGCAAGTAACTGTCTCTGTCACACTGAAAAAAACAAAAGCACAAATACGTAGGTTTCCCAGAATCACTAGAAAAATTCCCAGTAAACCTAGAAGTAACTAGTACTAAGCTGAGTGCGGTAGCTTGCGCATGTAATCCCAGCTACTTGGGTGGCTGAGGCAGAAGAATGGCTCGAGGTCAGGAGTTTGAGACTAGCCCAATCAACATAGTGAGACTCTCATCTCTAAAATAAAAATTAGCCAGGCATGGTGGCACACACAGAGCAAGATTCTATCTCTAAAAAAAAAGTAGCTAATATTTAGCTGGTCTCACAAGTGTGTCAATCTACTAAGCAGATGTTCACTCCAGAGAAGGACAGTTCTCAACTTCTTACATTTGCCTTTCAAACAACTTACACTTTCATCTATTAATCTCTGATAAATTTAAGCTTCCTTTCTCATACCAAATTTGGGTTTTCATACTGCAGGTTGAATTCTATGTTTTTTGACCTCTAGGAGAATAAATGCCCAACCTGATCAACACACATACAAGGCTAGAAGATGAATGCATTTTGTGTGGAATCAGAGATCTGCCTGCATTCAACTTGGGAAATAAGAATAAAAAGCCAAGGAGCCTGCCCAGAATAGGAAAGGTTACGAATAATCATACAACCTAATAGTGATAATTCACATAACCATAAAATAGTTAAAATCTATGGAGGACTTACTTTGCATCAAGTGCTTTGCCCACATCATTTTATTTAGAATATTGTTGTTTTTCTTAATGTCGGAAGATGACTAGTCTGTTTTCACCCTGCTGATAAAGACATATCCAAGACTGGGCAATTTACAAAAGAAAGAAGTTTATTGGATTTACAGTTCCAAGCCTCACAATCATGGTAGAAAGTGAAAGGCACGTCTCACATAGTGGCAGACAAGAGAAGAGAGCATGCCCAGAGAAACTCTCATTTTTAAAACCATCGGATCTTGTAGACCCATTCACTATCACAAGAACAGCACCAGAAAGACTGCTCCCATGAATCAACCGTCTCCCACTGGGTTCCTCCCACAACACATGGGAATTATGGGAGCTACTAGATGAGATTTAGCTGCGGACACAGAGCCAAGCCATATCAGAGAGCTATCCTGTTACTAACCTTTTTTGTAGTCAAGGAAACTGGGCTTAGAAAAAAGCCAAGGAACTTGCTCAAGACCACACAAATGCCAAGTGGCAAAGCCAGAACCTTAACTCAAGAATCTAACTCCACTGTTGGTACCTGAAATCACTGATCACTGTGGAGTCTCAATTAATAAAAAAGACATGGTGGGAGAAAGGAAAAACAACAACAACAAAAAAAGGCAAATAAGCTATAAGTGCATTTCTTCATGGTCCAGGACATATAGCCCTCCTGCACAAATAACTCACAATCTTCCTGTGCCCAGCTATCACCAGAACCTCGGCTAATACAAAAAATGCAAGTTAGCTCCCTGAAACCTTAGCATTAGCAGTACTGCATGTAGCACCCTGCAACCTAAAGCCATCCAATAAAATCTCCGCCAAGCCTTTGTCTCCTGGCAGTCAGCTTCTCTTCTGCTGGTTTGCCCATTGCTTCCTTGCGACATATTTTCATACCTTCTCTAATAAATCTGCCTTTCTTTATCTACAACAGTCTTGGTACATTTTTATTTATTTATTTATTTACTTAATTTTTTTTTTTTTTTTTTTTTTTTTGAGATGGAGTTTCGCTCTTTTTGCCCAGCCTGGAGTGCAATGGTGCGATTTTGGCTCACTGCAACCTCTGCTTCCCAGGTTCAAGTGATTCTCCTGCCTCAGCTTCCTGAGTAGCTGGGATTACAGGCATACCCCATTATGCCTGGCTAATTTTGTATTTTTGGAATTTAGAATTTGGTAGAGACGAAGTTTCTCCATGTTGGTCAGGCTGCTCTCGAACTCCCGACCTCAGGTGATTCACCCACCTCGGCCTCCTAAAGTTTAC